TTAATCGGGCTGATCCCGGAGCACCGTCACACTACAGTGCTGCCCAAAGATGGGCCCTGATTACAGGAGCCAGATTTAACTAATTACAGCTTCTTGCATTACGACTAAATACAAAAGAAGAGGTCTGCGAGGGGCTGTTTGAGCTTTTAGACACATGCGTCACTCTCTTCCCCTATTGACTAGGCGCTGCGCTTCCAAAAAAACGTAGTTTAATAAAAATGCAAAGCCCTCTACCCGGCAGAAAAAAAGTGTGCGCTATCATTCAAGCAAGTGTAGCACCCACAGCGGACACAAAGCCCGCACATTAAGATTGTGCTGTCATGTAAAATGTATAGTGATTTAATATGAAAAGTAGAACCTATTGCAATAGTCTTTTATTAACAGGAATACGAACAGGTTTGAATGTGTGAGTTTGTTATCGGCGTTTGCAGATTCATCACGTCATCACTGGTACTGTGGCCCGCGGCGGACGTTGTTAAAGCAGCGAGACCCTCCTGCATTAGAGGATTTGGTTACCTGAGGAGGTTCAAGTTCACGTCACACGGGATAGGTCAAGCTAGATCAGAAGTGCAAAATAAAGCCAGGCTGTTTCCGAGAGCTGTCAATTAGATTAACACGAAATCATACATGGGATACCGAAGACGGCGCCAAGGTCTTAATTTTCCCCACCGGATGGAGGATGTGGACTCAGCGGATAGTGCTGAACTATAAACCAGGGCACCCACCCTCCGCTCCAAGCTCCCGTGGGGGGCAAACGTGTGATCAACGGAGCCAGACATTTAATGAACAAAGTCATTTTAAAAAATCAGTCTTTTAAAGACTTCGCATCGACTTGTATCAGTAGGGTAGGTCAGCTAGACGTTTCTACCGCACTATGTTGCGGGGCACCCGTGATCACAAGCTGGATAACAGACAGTCCAATACAATCTTAAACCAAAACAATGTAGCCAAATAACAATGCATAACATAACACCAGGGAGCCGCAACATTTAGCCTAAAGAAAGTCTGTTTTCATCCGCTGTCAATATACATCTCCCGCATTTTTGAAAACACTGTATGAGAATGTACTTCTTTACTAATTTAATTATCGTTCCCTCTGACTATCTGAATGACCCCCACCCCCGAATGATCCGTATTACCGAAATAAAGGGGCGAACACGAGCAAAACCCGTATGAATATACTGCCTTTTCTGGAAAAGTACTGCCCCCTGGTGGCGATGATGGTGAACAAAAAATGCAAAGAGCCCGTTCACATGACCATTTTTCATCGAGCCACAAACGTCATGGTTTTTTAAAGAACAGTAAAAATATCTTTAAAGTCTAAAATAAATAGATGTGATCTATTCTAACTCAAAATACATTTTGCAACTCGAGCAGACTCCTTGGCTATATAGCCTACATCCCGAAATTAATCTCTCGAGTTTGGTTGCCTGAAAAAAGAGGTTGAACGTAAAATATTCATAGTCAAGAACATTTGACGTAATAACTGACTTGGTAGTGTGTATATAACATTTCAACTGACATGCGCAATACCAACTATTCATATATTTTCGCGGAAATTTTATTGTAAGTTTATGCAGTTCGAATAGGCCTACTGCATTATTTTACCTGCCGTAGATTAAATTGTTCGTAATGAACAATTCTTTGGTTTCATATTGAAATTATTAAAACATTAGTCAAAATACTTTAGCGACTAGTGGATCGCAATACAGGTAAAGCGGGGGCTGTTAGCCATGTAACTCAGTATGAAGGGTGATAAGTCTCCGCGCGACAGCAGTGGCTCTGAGCTCCTCACTGCTCACATTCTGGGGCTGTTTACATTTAATCCTCACTCAAGCTGTAGGTCGTCAAAATGAAACATTTTCAAATCATTTTTGCATTTCTTTTCATACCCAGAATGCTACAGTACTTATTTCCTTTTCCCAGCCTGGAATGATGTGAGATCCGACAATCACCCCTTAATAATCTATCCAGGGGTGTGTCATCATGCTTCAGTTCCAGAGGCTGATGTGGAAACCATTAAGTAAATGGTTCTGGGTACATCATTCGCATTAGTGTCTTCTACATCATTTCTTTGTGTTATAAACTATAACCAGACATGATATGTTTTCTCCCGCTTGTAAAGGACAGTGACACTGTGGGAAAACAAAACCGACACGCACGGGGCAGTTGAGCAAATACCATGACAGAGCATCCAAATACAGTCGCCGATCCATCCTCTGTAACTGCTTATTAAATATGTGGTTGCGGTGACAAATGCATTGGTTGCCTGTGTTTGTTATGCAGAAAAAAATAACTTTAAAGGATTCAATTCAGCAAATGCGAAGCACAAGGATCGATCTGCATCTCAAAACCCAGAATTAAATATTACGGCAGGGGGAACGATACCACACGCATAGCGGGGTCCTACGGTAAAATTGCGCTTAAACTTGACGCTCGCAACGTGTCTGCTCGCGTATCACAGCCGCCACGTTCATCCTACGTTCGGTCCGTACGTTGTTTGTGTAGCTACGCGAGGAATCTGCGCGCGAGAGGCAGGACACCTTTCTCAGGCTCTCTGCTCTCGGGCCCCTTCAGGTTCACACACAGAACGATTCGCTTTCCCCAATCCTCACCACTCTAAAACCCCGCATGTGCAAAAGAGAATAAAATTAAAGAAAGATGAAAGAGCTAAAACAGGTTATTCTTCACTATGACTGGAAACTTTCTGCCAGTCTGAAATTATAACCTTGACTCATAGTTGCTGTTTTACACAATCAACAATCAAGTGTTTAAACATTTTATTGAAGGAAAAAAAATACTAATTAGTATATATATATGAAGAAAGAATGGGTAGGTCTTGTGATTCCTGCATACTCTGTATAAACAAATGAGCTTGATTTTGTAACAGCCACCAACCACAAAGCTTCCAGCAGTCAAGAAATACATTGCAGACTGGCCTAGATGAAATGTCTCAGTGTGACAGTGTGTGTCTCTAAAAATAAGGACCAGAAGCGTAGAGAATATCGTATTTTCTTTTGACGAAACAATTGTGAAAGTTGAACAATGAGTAAAGTCATAGACAAGAAGAGTATTGATGCTTTTGAACTTTTGTGCTGTCACAGACTTCTAAGACTTCAAATAAAGGGAACAAGTGGATTTTTGATCAGACTGACCGTGAGCCTTCGCTTAGAGCACAAACGAGCAGACTGTCACTTCCTGTTCAGTGGAAGATTTTGCAGTGTAGACAAGTGTACATGCATTTGTTTAAATCTTTTACATTATAAATTTCTGTGTATTTTATAGCTTCCAGCATTGACTTGTTACTCTGCTCCTACTTTCCCTCAACAACCACAAACTCACTGCTGCCAGCTTTGACCATTTCACTGCAACGTCACTCAGACAATTCAGATCATGTATTTTATGCCGTAGAAGAAACTCCGGTATTATACCTGTTCAAAGATTGGAATCGAAGTTGTTTTTAAAAAGTCTCTTTTCATATTCTTCCCAAAACAATCTAAAAATGAGAACTCTGCTGTCTGCTGTCCTGTTCACCATGAGAACATGTCTGCTGCTGACTTCATCTGTCAGTGTTGATGCATCAAAGCAAACTGATGTGACTTTATGGATTTCAGTAAGCAGCACAAATCCCTGTCTTATCTGCCACAGTAATTCTCAAGGCATTTCACAGCCAATTGACGACACGATTGTTGCTATATTGTTACATAGTTGAAAAATTGTCAAGATTGGTGGTGGCTTAGCAGGTAGCATCAGCACATTTTAAGCTTGTCCTGTCCTCAATCCTTATGGCACTCTCCTTGACTATGGGGTGGGGGGGTCTCGGTGGGGTAGGGATTTGTGGCGATGTCTGGAAGGTTCTGGGTTTAATCTTGTGGCTCGCAAAAGAGCTCCATCACTGCTGTGCAAGGCTTCCCAACCCCCGCATGCTCACGGGGGGTTGGATGCAGACTGGCCCAGCTCGCTGACCCCAAGCATCTGTCAAGATGAAAAAAAAGAGTGCTTCCTTAATGCCGAACATTAGTGCTAGGTCCAGTTTGGCCAAAGCGATACATGAAAGTAAACAAAACAAGAAATAAACGCCATTTTCACTTATAGGTACCAGGGGTGTGGCTACAGGTGGGCAGGGGGCGGGCAAACAGCCTGCCCACCCAATCAGCAGAGTCTGAACCAGTTCATCCAATCATTATTGATTTAACAGAATCGCACTAGGACCAGGGGGGCACGGATGCCCTGGCAAGACTTTATAGGGGCCACAGAGTCTAACGTCATGGGTCCAGCTGGGAAAATGAGTCAGTGAATATGAGTCAGTGTCACCCCCCCAAAAATAATCTTTTATTCTGTGTAGCTCCTCTAATTTTTTTTTTTTGTTGGAGTGGCTTTCACAGAAAATAAGGTTCAGGACCCCGTCCTACTTTTACACAAACTCGTTGCACTTTCACATCATGGTTGGAGTGACCCCCCCCCCCCCCCCCCCCCACCACCACCACCACCACCACCACCACCACTGACACAATTGGAACACTGGTGCCCACCCGGCATACAAATGCCCCCCACAGGATGGCATGCTGGTGACACCGCTGAGAGGAACCAACAACAGGTGAGTAAAATGGATTTAGTTTCATTAAACGTTGTGGATCATTTTCATCATTTTGGCCATACACACAACTCCTTCCACTGCCACTTGTTGCCTTTTCATACTGCACAGAATACAAGGCCATTGCAGATCACACACCAGTGCCAGGACTGACGTAGTCATTAATTCACTTGGAAAAACGAGAAGAAACTCATGAGAACAGCATAAAAAAAATTCCGTGCACACGTGACCAGATTCAAACTCACAAACTAGCAAGTACGGTTTTTAACGCAACCTGCTTATCTAACGTAACGTACAAAGGGAACTTCATGCAAGTTTTTGTTATTCATCTGTTATTACATCTAATGAACGGTAGGAGGCTCTTGTGTTCAAATTCCCGTGCGCTATGACCCTGTAAAACAGTTTGCTATTTCCGTCCTATATGTTCCTTAATATATCTAATGCTCTGTTAATAGTATAACGGTATAGATTATTTAAATCTTACGCTATATGTGTTTCTATAAGGGAAAATGAGGCGAGTCATTATTTAAATGAAATAATGATGACAATTATATTTGTTGCCATGTATATTTGTAATTCTCTTCTCTAAGGAGGAACGGGCTATCGTCATATATAAATTTGACATCAATACGGCAGCATATTTACAAACTAAACCAGGCCATATACATTTTCAGAGTGGGACTTGTGGGAGACAGAGAAATCTAGAGCGACAGCACAGAGTTTGTAGCCTTGAGCATCGGAGGAGAAGGTGCTCATTATCACTAGTGAGTAATGACGGAGTTTTGAGTTAACTTGCCGTACCTTTCGTTTTAGATATTGCAGACTGCGTGCAAATCGTAATTATCGGAATGCCTGGGACACATCGTTCTAGCAGGACCGGATGTTTTTCCCTGCCTTGGCACCGCGGCAGTGCCACTTGTCAGTGGTGTGATTGTGGTTCACAGTAGGTCCGTCTCGGTCATTAGATAGGAGTCCCGTGTCCGCCGGCTGTACTTCTCTTATCCATCGGTGAACAACCCATGGCTAACCAAATGGAGGAGGAAATGAAGAATCACAAGGCGAAAGGCAAAATGACAAAGCGCAAAGAGAAGAAGCCGAAACCGAGGAAGCTCAACCGGGGTAAATCAATGAGGTCCGTCGGGAGCTTCGTGGACAAGGTTTTTAAAACTTTGGGCACTTTAGCTCGCTTTGGGGACATTAGCTTGCCAGATGCGGAGGATGATGACGGCGGATTTAGAGACTGTACACCATGCACATCAAGCGCCAATACGGGACAGTTCAAAGAGGACTCGGTCATCGCGGAGCAGACAACCAACAACAACGCGACGCTCTATCACCATGCGTCCAGCAAAGCGAGATCGTCTTGGTGCTGTGGTGACAAAATCCCAGGGGTTCTGGGCTTGAAAAATCATGGCAACACCTGCTTCATGAATGCAGTGGTCCAGTGTCTGAGTAACACGGACCTTCTGGCTGAATACCTCGGCTTGGAAAAATACAGATCGGATTTAAATCGGCCAGCTGTAAATGGGATTGTGAAAAGTGAAGACGCGCAATGTGTTAGGGGTGAGGTGACCGAGCAGCTGGCTGCCTTGATACGAGCGCTTTGGACACTGGAATACACACCCCAGCTGTCTGTGGACTTCAAGGTGGGTTGAGCATTTTGTGCGGCCGTGCATGCATGGGCTCCCACTAATGGGGTCTCTATGCACAGTAAATGTACTCTAAAGTACGCCCGCATGGGATTCATTATGGCTATTTAAGCCGTTTTCACGGGAGAATTACGCTCATCATTACCTCCCAGAACCATCGTAATGTTTGTAGCTCATCTAGGAGAAGGTTATCAACTGGAACTTGGAAATCCATTCATTATCTGCTCCTTGCTTTTTTAAAGATGTTCCAGAGTGGCACACGTGGCATGGTATTTTTTGATTTACTACCGAGCGCTATTAAATAAATGCCTCACAATGATTAACTCGAGCTTATTTAGTTGATTAGTTACTTGTACATTTGTTTGGTTTAGAGTGGATCCTTGTTAACTTCTGCTGGTTTGTCGACCTCTGGTTTGGCGCAGGGGTTTAGCAAACCTGAGCGCAGATGCGGAGGTGGTGAGTACTGGTGCTAACGAGTGGAGAGAGAGGCCGAAAACGCCAGATTATACCTGCTGTGTTGGGAGGGCAATGGTGTTTATGATATGAACAAGACCCCCCAGTATCCCGTATTGTTTAACTTCCATGCAGTTATGAGTTATACGGGTAACTATAAGTTCTGATGGTGACAGGTACTGTAACCTCACTTTTAGTTTGCTGCTCATCAGACATTTCAATTTTAAAATTCCATAACATAAATTGCAGAAACGGTTGTGTGTATTTATTGAAGCACCTTACTTAAGGCTATATAACAGTCAAACCCATCCCAGGATTTAAAACTGCTGTTTCATCAACCACCGCATGTCCTCCTGCCCTAGTGGGAATGAAATGGCAACATCTGAGTGTTTTTTGAGAGCAAAGTGATATGTGAATGATTGTAGCGCCGAATATAAACCCTGCTTTGGGGACTGGCCTCCTCTTTCATAATATCTCTTATTTCTCTGGCTGTATTAATATGATTTCATACTGGAAGGACAGAGTAGAGAGTACCATACACTGCAGTACAATTGGGTCAGAAATGCCCCTAATTAAATGGCTGAGATAGTAGGACCAGCACCGATAAACATAACTAGGATTACTGGTGAAAACAGATGTTTAGGTGCATTTATTATAGGTGAATTTATGTTGCTCATGTATCAGTCTTGTTTGTCTGATAAATTGGATCTATAAAATTATTCTGAAGTTGGCAAATCCAAAAGAGGACTGTTTGATGTTAAGATGAGGGCCACACTGACCAAGTAGGTGATATTTTTTTAATAATACTTCAATGAACTGTTATGAATTCGGTCAATAAAGTGAAAATAAATCAGCTGTAATTCAAGTCTGTACAACTCCCAAAGATTTCTTGGCATGTGGTATTGGCATGAATGTCCTGGCAATAAAATAGATTGGTGCCTTTGCGTTTTGTCAAAGCTAAGCCTCAAAGTGAAGTTAACCATAAATTAACCAATTATAGGTGAACCTCATAGAAAGGTGTGATTAGTCGGCTAGTCACAGATAATCAGTGGTTACAGTGAGTTTTTAATCTTGTGATGGTAAGATGAAGACACAGAGTCGAGTTGATGTTCCGTCAGATGGTTCATACACCTTCTCTGTACCTCTTCTCATCATCTGCAGCCGTGTGAAGGCTGGTCGGTCTCCTGAAGGTGGACTTGAGCCAATGGAGCTCGGATCGGAGTGTGTTGCACTGCTTGATGAAACCTGCACAACGTCGAGTGAAAAGCGTGGATATCTGAGCGTGTCTAGCCTTGGGGAAAGAATGCGGAGAACTCTACTGATCTGCCTTTGCAAATTGAGAAAGAAATTGCAAAACATCATGTTACAGATATGAAAACATCACCCCTGAGTTCAGCTTAGGTTGTTGAAGCTGTTATGCAATATCCAAAATAACTTCTATAGCTTACAACTGATTCTGATACGGGAACCCCCGCCCCAGGTGTTCTGCAGTAAGCATTTTCCCCATCGTTCAGTTGCTTATCTGTGTGTCCTCTGTGTTTAAAAATACCAGCCAACTCCCATTGAATGATGGCTTCTGCCCTGATGTTCTTTCGGCCTGGTAATAAGGTGACCTACTGGGAAGTGACTGGGGAATGTTTAAGACAAATGGCGTTGCCGCCTCAGACCGTAGAGAGGATTACATCATCGCGGCCATGAATAAGGCTAAGTGACCATCTTAACTTTGCAATAGGCCTAACTAAAGTTATTTTGAGGAACAGACTTGTCCCAGGTTAGTTCCCCATGATTCCGGGTGATACTTTTGGTAAAGGCCTACATTACAATCCAAATCATAGCTTCAGTGTAGCAATTCCTGAGGACGTCCACATGACCTCATTAGGTCTCAGTCACCCATCTCAGACTTAAGAATGAAAGTCACATGTTATTGAAGTAGCTTGCAGTTTGTTTTTTTTATCTCTTATCTTTTATCTTCTGCTGAACTCCTTCAGTGGAACTGCTGGTGAGAAACACAGAAATGACATCCTTGACAGTGAAGCACTGTTTTGCTTGGTGTTTGTAGGTCATACGCGGTAGTCTATGTTGTTAGCTCTAGTGCTGAATTCGGTCCAAGGTCATCACCAGATCAATAAGCGGAGGTCTTCTGCAAACTACTCTGCCCTCATGTCTGGGGATAGTAAGGTGAATTTCACGCCCGGCCATCTGTGAGAGGCGCTCACTTAGCAGGAATGAATTAGTAATGAGTAAGGATCAGAATTCAGTATTTTGAACCGCCTGATATGTGACTCCAAAGAGGGCGGAATTGCACAGTGTGCCTGCTATTGAACAGAGATGTGGAGGGAGGAAAATACCAGATTAAATAAACCAGTGAATCAAAATCAAACTTTTGTGTTTTATTACAAAGGGGCTTTGGAGAGGGCTGACCTGTCACTGGTTTGTTTACTTCTGTCACACCTCCTGTTTGTTGGCCCAGACTGAGCACAATCTAAACAGCCTTAATAAAATATAATAAATACTAAAGTACCAAAGGTACAACAGCAGAACCTCCTGGATTCTTGCCTGTCACCTTATGATGCCGTCCCTTACAGTCTCCTCTCTTCCTGACTCCCTTTTCTAGACGACTGTATCCAAGTACAGCTCCCAGTTCCGGGGAAACTCCCAGCACGACGCCCTGGAGTTCCTGCTTTGGCTCCTCAACCGTCTGCACGAGGACATCAGCTCCTCCCCGTGTGCCAACGGCAGCAGCCATGGCAACAGCAGTGGGACAAAAGTGCCTGGAAAGGTAAAATAAGCTTTTAGCCGCTATTATCTAAAGTAATGAATCGCATCGTGTACCCAGGGTTCCCAAGCAACCAGGTGTGCTGTGTTGTAGTTTATTTTGAAGCTGGTGTTGGTGTAGTAGTTATGTTGCTGTGTAATCGTGCATTACACCAGTGTTTTCCAACCCAGTCCTAGGGGATCCCCAGACGGTCCATGTTTTTGCTCCCTTCCAGAAATTCCACATTTTTGCTTCCTACCGGAGCTCGGTCTGGGGATTCCCGAGGACCGGATTGGGAAACGTCGCGTTATGCCATTCATTGTGGTTTTACCTGCACAGAGCACCCTGTCTGTTTACTAACCACAAACCTTGAATTAGGATGCAGATCTTTTAGGGTCAGTTCTCTTTCCACCAAACCACTGCTGGCTCTGGTCTTGGCCCATTGAAACATTGAGTGTCAGACCTGTGCTGTTTATTTCCTGGGCATTCCAAGTCTCAGTCCTTACAGGAGAGAATTCTGGGTAAAGAAAGTGAAGTTTGGAAAATTCTCTTCCAGTATAATCTGTACCAGTATAATATGAGGTAAAGGAACAGATGTAAGCCATAGACCCATGTACACAGTATTCCTCCATGACCCCAGAGCATGCTGGGAGAATTCAGGCAAGCTTCCCATGCATATAGATTGCCTGAAGTCCTCCAAAAGGATTTCAAGTAGGGGTGCACCGATTGCAGTTTTCTGGCCGATCAACGATCACCGATCCTTAGGCAACCTT